TACCGTACGGACGAAATAGGACACCGTTGTTTTTCACGCGTTCGTTTAATCACTCGTTCGCGTGTTCAATCTTCGGTATTTGCGTCAATAGATTTGCTTAGACAAGCCTCTCTGTTACACGATTTTATTTATTACTCTTTGTCGAAGGTGTCATGTGAAAAATGTTCCACTATATCTGTTCAGGGGTTATGTGAAATAAAATAGACGCGTAGAGTATATTATATTTATAACAGAAAAATTAAACGATGAAGAAGCTATTAAAGAATTCGGTGCTTACAAGACGAACGCACAGTTAGAACTAAAAAGAACTGCTACGACAGTACATGCATCACCTGGAGTACTCGCAGGCCCCAGACCCTAATTAAATAATAACTTCGAAGGATGTGGGGTTTTCTAAAAATGGTATAAACATGCTTTAACAATATGTTCCTTTAATGATTGTTTAGCAATCCGATGGAGATAATCTCTTCGCAAGGAGTAGACTAGATAGGAAGTTGTTAGTTAGAATCTGTTCGAACAGCTTTGTGAGGCCGCTCGCGACGCGCAAAATCCTTAATTATTATGCAGCAAAGCAAATCAGGAATCCGGGTAATGCCAGCATTCGAACTGGCCTGCAGATCGGCTCGTAAGGGTTTGGAAGGGACCGGAGGAGTCCCTAAAACCGCAGTGACCTCCAATTATCCTGTGGGTACCACGTGGGCCACGTGGTACCCGTGGTCCCTACGGGCTGCCCGCAAACACCCCTATATGTTGGTCTTCTATCCTGCAGCGCCCCTCGGATTAATTCATTATTAAAATAACCCTATCGGAGGGAGCTCGTTATCGTCCTCCATTAGAGCGGAATCGCGTGAAATCGAATTAAAACTCGGACCGCGAAAATTATTCTTAACCCAAGAATCGAGTGGAGATCCTGCAGCTCGATGCAACGAAACGCGTTTCAATATCGATCGATTTGTAAACGACATCCATAAACGCGAGGCTTCAAAGGGGGTGTTCGTCGACCAGGACACGACGAATCGTCCCTTCTAGTTCAAAGATACGCGCAATTGACCAGGATTCACTGAACTTCGTCCGGGGTCTGTGGTTCGGGGAAAATCAAAAGCCCTCATTAGGTATTCCGAGGTCAGAGGGTGGCAAAGGGTGTTCAGCCTCCCTTTCGTCTTGCACCCAGGCCCGCCTAAGACCGGACATTTCAATAAACCCTGGCAAACGTGTGGGTTTAAGCCGCTGACTGCGACGACCCCCGTTCTGGTCAGCAGCTTCCTCCTCGATCAAATTGCGCATGTCCTCGTGTCTGTCTTCGGGGCATACCGGAATAACGACCACCGATCGATCCTCGCGTCCTGCTCTTCTGTTTTTCGTGAAAATGCACGAAATATATGGAAAATGGCTGCGGACAAATTTTTATCTCGTTGTATTCTTAAAACTTCGTTACGGTTATATTCTGAATCTTTATTATATATTCTAGCTGAACCTCCTGTCTCATATGTTATCTTAGGTTCTACGTAAAGTACCCGTACTATTTTCTATTCAAATGTCCTCTTTAGACTATCCCCAGTCCCCTGAGTATATAGACGAGTATAAGCCGAATTTTTCTGGGATCGCCTAATAAGAAATGAATAATAGCAGGGGCGGTAAGTGGTAGTCGAGCAGCATTCAACAGCCCATAAAACTTTCTTTTTCCCTGGGTGACGATGGCGTTCTCGCTTCGATTCTTCCGAATTAGCGAAATGATTTCCGGGGAAAACTTTCCGCGCCTTCCGTCCACGGTCACTTTCTCCCCCATGAATCTATCTCCCCTATCCACCGACTGTATATACGATTGGTCGACGTTTCGCGTCCGCGACCCCTTGTCTCTCTATACCCACGGTTCCACTCTGTACCGTCGCTAAAATTCGATCTGTCCCCGCCATTGGCTCGTCGTCGAAATAATCCGACGGAGAAACGAATTACACCGTCTGATTGGAACGAGCTCGAACAGAAACTCCGCGCGTCGTTAACAAACTTCGTTAACAAACTATTGGGAACAACGTTTTTGCAGATCGATCGGAAAGGTGGTCATGAACGGCCAAATGGATTTGCTGATGAACTTTTCTGACAGCTAGTTCTTTACGGTACTTCAACTTGTAATATGAGTCGGAGAGGACGAAAGAATATTGAGAGAAGACGAAGCTTTTCTTACTTAAGCTTTACTATAAAAATGTAAATTGCGTATAAGGTACATTATCGAAACGTTATCGAAACGTATCGTATATCGATAGAATTCAGTAAATATAATAAAATATCTGATTTCCGTTAGCAAAGCGAATTCGAGAAACCACGATGTGCCGATGTCTCCGATATATTGTTCCGCAACGCGACGAGCACAGGGAGAGAAAATGGTGCTCGAGTTTCTCTCTTCCGGCTTTAAAACTTCATTTCCCAGCTTTCATTTCCGACCCCCGTTACTCCTTTCCGGAGAATCAGCCGGTGAGATGCCATACGTCTGCACGTATTCTCTTAAAGGCGATCACGGGTCCTCGCAACAAAGTACTCGGTTGTTTCCCGAATCCGGGTACGACGACCATCAATGATCACGGTTCATTTCGTTCTACTTTCGCAAACTCCGTACCTTTTTCTCTTCGGGTCCGTTGGCTCGTGGCTCTTCTCGTTCGGTTCGGCCGCCCCGAGGAAACGAAGAAAATAGCCGCTACACGCTCGTACGAGCCCATAAAAATCACGCTCATCCTCTTCCTCTCTCTTTTCTCCCTTCTGCCCCGATGGATTATTGACTTTGCGTTTGTCGGAGTCCGACGAGTCTTCCTCTCGCTCGTGTCCCTACCAATCTTCCCAGCCTCGGTTTTTCTTTCGCAGATTGAGGCCACACGGGTCGCATATTGGATCGAGATTCACCGGAAATCGGAATGTTTTCCTGTCGACCTGCACCTTCCGCATTCCCTCGAAACTTACGAATATACTTTCTATTTGTTTGATTACACGGAGAAACTATAGATCTAATTTTAAGTCGTATCTCCCGTGGGCCCAATCGCGAAACCTGTATATTTACAAAAGAACGCGTTCGAGCTACCTCGTATTCTTTTTATCGTTCCAACAGTCGAGCAACACTCGGATAACGAGAGAAATAACGGCACACAGGTAACTGGCGAGTTACCTGAAAAAAAGAGGAGACATCGCGATCGTCGGGCACGTTCAGTTGCTCGCGCAACGGGACACAATTTGCCGGGCAAATGATGCCGCCGAGTTGAAACAGGAGTTTGTACTTAAATGATGAAACCAGAAGCGCAGCTTTGTCGCGTCGGTAGCTGCGACTGGAAGCCAAATTGGAAGCCGACAGCACGGCACGAAAGTACCAACGGCAACCTACAGACGGACGTGGATGGACATATAGACGACCAGCGTTGCTAAAATCTCTCGTATTCGGTAAAGCGCGTACACGCCGACGGAACCGGACACTGCGCGACGCAACCAAGGGCGCAACTAAACGAGCAGAATGCTAAAGCAAAGCCACGTTTAGCGAGTATTCGTCGCGTTACTGGCCCGTTTAATTACTCCCTTCATAGACACGCTAAATATTCTAGTGTCTTTGTGAGACGTTTGGCTCAGCGCGTGCCGTCATAGAAAGATAATTACGCGAGCAAGACTGCTCTCCGGGCGTGTAACGGTCCTTATTACGGGACATTGATCGTTTATACTCGATTGCGTTGGCCAGATCTTATGGCTCGAGTTTAATTCGATAGGAAGAAGACATTAGGAAGGCTGATAAAACTGAATGAATTAAATCAGAAGAGTTTTAGTATGAAGTTGCAGAAGTGTAACATTGTTATATTTTTAGTATGCATGTGAGACGTGCACTTTTCTGAATTGTATCATTGTAATATTGTACCAATTGTATTGGCACTAATAAAATATATATTAAGGTGCATAATGCATCTGAGCCAATGCAACAGATAAACCTACGAACATTTGGAGTTAAGAAACAAAACCTGACACTTTAATTAAAAAAGCAATAGTTGAAGTTCACACACGGATATCTACTATCGAGTCAGACTCAATATTGACCTATCAAAGGGTTAAAGCGGACAGACTCAGCCGTCAGTTTTCGTTCTCCGTTTTCCCGCCTTCGCAGTTCGCCAGACTCACCCTGTTTTAATTAGCTTTACCGGCCCTTATTTCTTGCGAATTAATTTTCAATTGCTATGGTCATACAACGGTCGCGGTTGCAAGTACGTCGCTTTTATTCGGGAAGAAACGAGTAATATCTGCTGCACGTACACTTCTGAGACTCGATTCAAACCACACTATTGTCTCCGATGTAGCGAGAAAAGCTTTCTTTCTTCAACGTGTTCCATAGATTACGAAGAAACGAATTGATACTCAAATGCCAGCGAGTTGTGTTTATACAGATATAATCGTATTATGTATCGGTAAATAAGGTATAAAATATCGATAATCAAAGAGCCGAACGCTACCCGATGAGACCATCGATCCCTCCGCGTCGAATCCTTTCCGAATATTCAAGCGGAGCGGCAGGTAATCGCGGTAAGAAGGACGCGTCACGATGGAAGAAAATCCAAAGCGGGAGCGGAAGGAGGAAGAGGAAAAGGAAGAGGTAGAGCCCAGCGGCTTATAGCGACGCGAGACGCTCATCTGCATTTCAAATGGCGCGCCCTCACCAAGATTTCCACGGGACACTCCGCCACGTTCGTGCGAGCGAGAACGCAACAAGCGTGCATTCGAATACCAGACGAGCCGTGCTGGAAGGTCGCGTGTGTACGATGGAATCCAATACGGATGGATTCGAATCCACAATAGGTCGCCAGGAGGTCGTTTGCACCCCTACGTTAGGCTTGATCTAGTGCAAACGAGACTAGCCAGGAAACCGAGACCGATTCCGCTCGGGTTGGATTATACGCGCTGGAATTCTGTTTAACGTCGAACCGACGAATCCGCTGTGTTTCGGTGAAATATCTGATTCCGTGCCGGGAAGATGGAGAACTTACCTTGCCGACGCCCGTCAGCTCCTTCACGCCTATCCTTCGGAGCAGGGCGGGTGGCGCGGGCGGCGGTGACTTCAGGAGGAGGGCAGCGTATCCATTCGGAAAGATCGGCAGTTCGTCCGAACCGATGTTCTCGTCACCGGAACGACGTCGACGGTGAGGACTCGACGAGAGGTTCAACTTCTGGGCTGCTCTGCAAAGCAAACGGAACACGTCATTATATCAAATATTCTTATATTATGCTTTCAACGTTTTTACAATAACGTTCCCTACTGACTCTTTAATTTACAAAGTAGATCAAGTCCTCAATCAAACGCAACACAGTGCGGAGTATGAAAAATATTTAACTTATTATTAATGAAAATTTATATACTCCATCAATTAATGTGATATCAAGCTACACAGGAGTGAAAAGTTTCGGTACGTACAGCTTTGTCGTTAATTGTTCGTGATGTTATTTAATAAGGAAAATGTAATTATGCAAAATAATTCGCGTCCGTTATTAGGAAAATTCATTGCTCAAAGGGTTGAAGGGTAAGCAAAGTATGGAAACTCGTTATAATTTTCCAAGGATATTTCGCTGCTGCAGCGGGATAAATATTAAGAGATTTAATTAAGTAGACTCTGTATAACGGGAAAGAAAAGCGACGCACGAACGAAGCGTACACCTTCCGTAACTACATTTTCTCGATCATACTGTTGACTCTGGCGTCTGGCTGTCGCAAAGTATCCGAAGTTTCCCTCCGACCCGGAACTTACTTTCCCCGTTTAAATATTTGACCGAGTGAAATAAGTTTCTCGTATTCGTTCGTCTCGCAGTCGTGAACAGAAATCGACGGTCATCCCAAGAATCGTTGCCAATTATTCCGAGCGAGCAGGTTTCTTGTATTCGCGCGATCGTTGAAAAATCGATCGAATGCCGTTTCGAGCGTGGAGAACGACAACCGGTCAGTTGCATGCATCGTCGAGCGTGGCTGAAAAATCAGCGGCGGCGAACCAGAAATAAAAAACAGGGAAGAAGCGCCGATAAAAACGAGCGCTCGTGAATATCGAGCAGCGATATCCGTCCGTCCAAGTTCCGGTTCGTAAAATTTCGCGGCTCGAGGCCGACACCGCGGGACCAAATAATCAAAGCGGACATTAAAGTCAAAACGGGCGGAGGATTCGATACGGAAAAGGGATATCGGACGCGATGATTTCGCGGTCAGCGTTCGCTCGAAGTGGAAAACCGTCGCGTCGAATCAGAGCTCGTTCGGTTCGATCGCGCTGCGGGAGGTGACTCAGGAAGCGAAAGAAAAACGATACGAGTACGCGTATTTTTGTAGGACGACGTGTACGGTCCGCTATCTCGACGAATTTATCCGGCGCTGATTCAGTCGACTAACGAATTTTTCCACGTCGCGTAGTCACGCTAGCGTCGTCGTTAAAAAAAGGGATCCAAAAGCGGAGAAATACGATTCCCGTTAGCTGGCACGGGGGTATCTTCTCGCGAGACTATTAGCCTCGGTCCATAGAGAAAAGCGGCAAACGGTGCGGATTATTCGGGACGTAATGCGGCCGGAAGTCGTGGCTGTTAGCCGAAGCGAGCGACGGCTAACGCTGATAACTGGTCCGTGTCCCCTCTCTTGTCCTTGGCCCTTTCTATTTTTTATGACGCTCCCATAGGGTGGTCGCAAACGCTTGCACGCGTATACCGCAACGCGCAACGAGAGACGCGAACGTAGAGAGAGAGAGGAACTAGAGTTCGCTCTCTCGTTGGTATTTCCAATTTCACAGAGCGTGGGTTAACGAGGCCCGAGGGTTGTGGGAGTCGGGACGACCGAACCCCTGAACCATCCTCTGCCCCGCTAAAAGTGAGCCCCGATAGTCCTACTGTTACACCTCTTCACCCTGGCTCCGTCTCTCTTTCTCTCGGTACACCCCTTTAAACCTGCTGCCCTGCCGCGTACGGGGTTCTGGCACATTACCTTCGCTGATTACCGGCCTACCCCACGGAGTATGTCACCCAGTCACCCTCGAGACACATACCTTCCGGAATCCGGCGACCCTTTCCTACGCTGGCTTCCGTATCTGCGAGATAGGCATCGCAGGAAGCGTTCGAGACGAACGAATGTACCAACGAACGACCGCCCGCTACGTTCTCTCGAGATTTAAGCGGTTCCTCTGGATAGAGTTTGTGCCCGACAAACTTCACGCTCGATTCTTTCATGTGAGCACTCCATCGCCTCACGGAGTTTCTCCTCATGAAACTCGTGTTAGAAAGTTTCTCAGATTGCTCGTTAATCCATTGTAGAATTATGGGTTAAAACAATAAATTATAATATCGTTTAATAGAAACTCAGAGGTTTTAAGACCTATGCAGAACCTATGCAGAAATTTGTATTGGCTACGAGTCGGTCATGCAATACTATTGCATATTGTTTCCTGTCTCGTAGTCAATTCCTGGAATATATCATTACGAGACCCTTAGGTTTCCTGTTGGACCGAGTTCCATTAAGATCGGAGCGTGTACGCTTCGACGGAACACGAACGAAGGTTTTTTCCTGTTTCAAGGGAAAAAATCATTCGCTTCTTTCATCAGTCCGGAGAATCTGAAAACGAAGCGGAGGAACTGGGAGACGCAGGTGCGCGTCGCGCAAACGCAATCTACGCATCAATCACGAGGAACAGATGCGTACTGGTTCCCGCGCGTTCTCAATCTTCGGCGGAAAGTCATTTTCCCGTATACCCGCGGATAATCGACGATCACCTGCTATATCGTGAATAAAATCAAAACCTGTCCCCGCGATAAGCGCGAGAAAAATACTTTCTATTCCGGAAATAATAGGAGGGAGTGTCGATTAAGGTCGTACACGGAATTGCCTTTATGCACCCCTGACGGAGGAAAGTAATCACTTCCTCGAATTCAGAACGTACTTTAAAACGATCTTCTTCAGATACGATTTATGACAAGCATACGTCATCCAAGAATAATTGGACTCGAGGTAAAATTGAGAGTCGTCCGAATGGCAAATACGGCTATTTTGACGGCGAAAAAAATGCAGCGGTAGGCTGTCGAAACAAGCGCAACCCGGTCGGTATTTGCCGCGTTACTTAACGCGGGATCCGCGCACCATCGATCCCGGCTGTCGCTGACAAAGTGAATGAGTTAAAAGGCATTAAAGCGGCGTACGCCATAAAAATGTTCTCGCGTAATCCGATTGCAACGGCATCGATCACGCGTCGCTGACCGTGTCCCTACGCTGACGGATTCCGTCAAGAGACTTCCTCCGTTTCGTTTTCGCGATCATAAATTCTCGCCGGTTTTTTTCTCCCGCGTTGTGCAGCGCGACGACGAAAGTATCGAGAAGCACGCGGAGGGGTTGCCCGGCTCGTAATTCGCACGGAAATTACACGCTTAATTCGCGATGTTATTTACGAGCGAGCGGACACTCGTGCCCCGACTCTCCCTCTCCGCCCACTCCTCGTTCCGAACCACCCTTTGCTTGGCAACTCGCCACGTATCTCGGCTTAATCAAGGAAATTATGGCGCGAACCGCTTTAAACGTCGGGGGCCGTTAGTAAGCTCGCATATCTCCCGCTCCGCCGCGAACGATACGCGGCTGGCTACGAATTAAAAACTTCTGAAAAGACGGAGCACGCGACGACGCCACACGCCCAACCGGGGGGCAAGAATACACACCCCGGCACCACTCTTTTCTTTTTGCCTGCCTTCCCTTTTTCGAGACGGGTCGCCAGCCGACGGGAATTGATTAAGGTAATCGAGTAGAGCACCGTGATTCGAGAAACTGAGGCGTCGGTTGCTTTGCTTAACCCCTTATCAACGCTGTTTCATGATTTATCACTTGCGTGAAACTTATACAGAAGGGTCGCCACGTTTCTAGATCGATCGCTACGAATATCTGAAAATGTTCAAGATATCACAACCTACGCGGACATTCTATCAAAAGGTCTACAAGCTATGTCTGTTTCGAACTGAAGCAATATGTTCAAAATTATATAATAAGTGCAGGAGCATGACAATTAAATAACATCACATATGTATACATTAAATTCGTATCTCCCAATTCATGTATGTTGTAAAATATGAGAACATGCTATGCTTTTCGCCAGCAGTGCAGATTCGTAATTCGTAGTGAAAACCGTCGATTGAAAACACAGTTGGACGAGGAAAGGATTACAGAAAGGACCCCACTTGATTGTTTCGAGCGATCGAAGTGCGGACGCAGACGCTTCACACCGGAAAACCAACACAGTTGGTAAAAAAAAACGGAGGTAATGCGAGAGGCCGGTGAAAACGTGGACAGGATTTTTCACGGATCGATTATGGCAATTCAATGAGGAACATCAAGTGCGGGGACGAGGATTTGTCGTTCCGAGTCGGACGTTGGGATGCGGTTTATCCGTACTTCCATCCACGCCCTCTCGGATGTTCTCCATCCATCCTTCCGGAATCCTCGGTGTTTTCTTTCCGTTTCCGGCCAACTGGATGGAGGATTGTACGAACAAGTTTGACGAGTAAAAGGGGTTAGCGATTCGTATTGGAAAGTTTATTCAATTATCTCGCTCGAATTGCGGAGCAATAAATCATCGAAAAATTTAATACAGAGGCGTGATAAATGGAATATCGATGTAAGGATTTTGCAAGCACAAACACAGAGTTGAAAAAAGATTCGTTTGGTAACGATCACCGGATGCATTTTTTCGCGCAAAATTTGCAACGGTGTAAGTTAAATATGGCGCCCGGGAGAATCGTTTAACTAGCCCGACCGTACGTGTGCAGCTCCCGCGTCGTAAATCACACGGGATACCGGGAAACCGTCGAAACGATCGGGGAAGAAGCTCGAGCTTCACGAGAAAGGGAAAGGAACTGGTGTCTCAGCTGTTCACCGCCTTGCAGCACTGATTGAATTGCTTCCGTTTTCTGTGCTATAACAAACCCATATTCTAGCAATTTTCGCAAACTCCAAATTTCCCAAATATTACGCCGACGTTGTAACGCGAGAAAGTTCCAAGTTCCACGCTTCATGTAAAGTGAAACTTAAGGATAGAATACTTGGACCTCTTCAAGATATTAAGAACTATTTCGATCGGTGAAATTGCCTGGCGAAATTTATCCTTCACATAATAAACGAGAAGAAGAAGCTGTTGCGGGACCCGTAAAATTCAGCTCGCGAACACGACGCAAAGTTT